TTAAAGGCAACGTCACCGAAAATGGCAACTCGACGTCGCCTTTTAGAAAAATATTTTATATATAAATATTTTATATATAAAAATGAGGCGACGTCGCCAAATATATATATGTGTGTGTGTGTGTGTGTGTGTGTGTGTGTGTGTTCGGTATACCGCTCGGTATACTATATCGTACCGTACCGAGCGAATGTCGAAACGCCGATACGGTACGGTACGATATTTTAAACCTTGTATATATATACATATATATATTAGGTGTGACCTGTGATTGGAAACAAAGTCTATAATAGTGACAGGTCAGTGGTTTAACACATACATCACACTAAGTTAGACTTGTTATGCTAATAAAAGGAAGATATGGATCCTAAACTAAGAGGGAGAATGCATGATAGCCAAAATGATAATCCTAAACCAAATGAAAATGACATTACCTCAAGTACAAGATGAGCTTAAGTTTTAGATTAAAAAGTAGAGCTTTTTTCTATTTTTGATAAAATGAACTGATTTACAACTCATACTAAAATCTTACTATAAGATTAGTAGTCATCCAACTCATCATTTATCATGCTACCCAATTCATGATATCATAGTGGATCATTAGTTGGAAACTTAGCTTTAATTGTAACCTCCTTATTAGTCTCACATTGGAAGTGAGCAAGACTAAGATAGTCTAGGGTCTAATGAGCATATATTTATTAATTTTAACTTAAGCATTTTGGCCAATGGTTTAAGCCCAATAAAGTTGATAAACCAATTATCCCATCAAACTGGGTCATAACAATAAAAGTAGGAAAAGTCAGATAAATATTATCCCAAAAGCTCAAACTTCTAGAAAAAGTGGAGGCATAAATCTTCGTTTTATCATATTTCAGCAACGCAATCCATTTTAACAATATAACCATATCCGACAGATTTTTATTTGGACTTAAATATTAATTCTAATCCAGTTTCAGGAAAGGCTCTCATATCCAGACCCAGTATTTTCCCATGACCAGATCTAGTGTGTTTGTTTTATGAGACAATATGTTATTATGTAAATTACAATGTAAATAAAGCCATCGCTAGCCAGCTTCAAATTAACATGCTGATGTGATTTCATCTGAGGGGGTGATAAAAGAGTCTGATTCTATCAACTAAATTCAGGAAACTATCTAGATCAGTAGTTAGCCAAGTTCAAGGTTCTTCACCCTTCAATGGCTTCTACTTATATCAGTAAATGCTTTGTATGAATGAACATGTGTGTTACCAATTTGATCTAATCAGGTGTTATGTCTTGCTTGAAATCAGGATGTAGTTCAGGTTGTCTGACAAATCCAAACTATTTGGAATAGTAATTAGTTTCTTTTCTTTTCTAGAAATAAAATCAATAATATTTTCTAATATGAGGCATTTTAGAAATCAATATCATAAACATAAAGAGACTGTTTTGTTTTCTAGTTGGTCAAAAGAAAAGGAGGCTAAATTAGCAAAGGTGTTCCCCTCGATATATTCAATGATTTTAATCAACTTTTGGGTGTTAAAACTTAAAAAGTACATACTATAAGATTATACTCCAAGAATCGACCATGTGTTATCATTAGAGATGACAGACTTACCAGGTCTAGTTACATATTTGCATTATCATTTATGGTAAAGACAAAATTGTGGACATATATCTTTCAAAGTGGCACACTTTTTTATCTTTTTTTAAGATTAGTTAAACTGGGGAAGTAGAGCCTTATCTTTTTATAATTTAGACTGATTAGTTTCTATCTAATTGTCTGTAAAATTACAAAAGCATAGGCTCTTTGATATGACAACATACATGGAATGCCATTAGTGAAAGTCAGGTGTTAGAATATTTTTAAGTTGAAGTGATTGTTTATTTATAGTAATTCCTCTGGACTTGATGAAACCTGATGAGAATGTAAAGCTAACATGGATTCATTTCACAAGCAATTTTTTCAGCAAAGAAAAAGATAAACAGAAGTATAAGCAGCTTTAGAAAGACAAAAGCTAATTGTTCTTCCAAGAAAGAAGAAATATAATTGATGTATAAGCATATTTGAATGACAATCACACAATTACCCTTGAATTCATCTTCCCATACACCATAATTATTTGTGAATGGAAGATCTGGTCCAATAAGACCAACTTGCAATCCTTTCTTGGCAGATTCTGCAGCAAGAGAAAGACCAGCTGGACCACAACCAATTACGATCAAATCCAATGTAGAAGCCGCTGAAGATATAGGTGACAGCTGAAAGAAGGATTTACAATTAACCTGAACAAATTAATGGTCCAAACAGAAGGAATCACAAATGAAAAGTGCATCGAGAAAAGAACATATTGGAGAGGCAAGATGAAGCTAATCAGCATTGTGATACAGTAAAATTTTTTCCTACTGCGAACTGGCTAAGATTGAGAAAGCTTTTCTATTATGACATGCTTCTGCGACTTAAATCACATTTTCTATAATCTGGATGATGCTCATGTCACAAGAAGTCATCTGGTATATGCTCTGCGTGTAAATGCTTAAAGGTGAAACCAAGCTCTCAGATCTGGTTCTCATTATTCTGACACATCCTTTAATGCAATTCTACCTTGACACACAAGAGGTAAACTAGCAGACAGAGCAATACGTTCTTTCAGCAACTCATCACTCTGCCTCATGCAACTCGAGTTAACATTCACCAGATTCAACAGTACCAAACAAACAACATAACTTCGCAGGTTCACTTCATCCCAACATGTAACTGGAAGCATAAAAATAGAAGAGATTAAGGCGAGAAATGAAACCTTTTCGGCGATTTTGCTCTGCTTCTCCATGGGCTTTCTTTCCTGCATTCGAACGAAGAGCCGCTCGCTCCCGCCCGCCTTGACGAAATCTTCCTCATCCGCGAACTCCTCGATCCCGGTGGCGACACAGCTGTCCACGCCCCCTCCCGCGGCGCGCACCCGGATCCGGGCAAGCGAGCGGCGCCGCTGGCGGGGGGGGAGCTGTTTCCCGTACGCCGCCACCTTCCTCCTTCGGAACCTCCATTCGTCGAAGTGGACGGAGATCGCTGCGGAGTTCGCGCGGCCTAAGCATTCCATGTCCACTGCCACAAGCTCCGCTACCAAATTTCCTCCTCCTCCTGCTCCTGCTCGGCGAAGAAACTCTAGTAGCGGAAGAGGATACCTCCCCCCAGAGGGTTTTGGATGGTTCTTGGGAGTTGGGGGCCGGGGAGATCACCACGAACGTGCGAGAGTAGATGAACCGAGAGAGGAGAGGCGCTCTTCCTTTGCAGGAAGCGAACGAGCGGTTGAGTAGCCTACATCCACAACGAGTTTACGTGGCGGCATTCGATTGGGTATCAAGAAAATTGTAGCCAGCTACCGGATATGGCTCTTTTTCCTATTTATCCTTTTTTTATTGGAATATCATTTCCGTAGGCCATTTCTACTTCCCTTTCTTGAGCGGACAGCATCGGAGGATCAAGACGCATGGTGATTAAGACGCGTCGATTCGACATTAAGTGGATATCAAGATCATCACCGTATCGAAATCAAAACGAACGACGATGGAAGGACACGTTCAACCTTTTCGTGATGAACGGCGGGGGTTAAGCTGCGTGGTTATTTGCGTACACGGCACTCGCTCGTACGTATAAAAGTCGCGGCCGCCACACACTCATCAAGCCGAGCTCTCCGACAATATGGGAGAAGCTGCTGTTGGAATTTTAAGGGTCACACATGTATAATTAAATGTGTTAAGCCATTATTTTGATTAGCCAAAATTAAAGTGATCCAATTAAAATAAAGTTATTTGGCTAAAGGACATAATTGTTATGAAAATTAATTGTGTGGATACCATCATGTTCCTAACTTAATGACGAGATAAGTTAGGAATATGAAACTCTTGAGACATAATTGCAGATTCATCAATTATGAATACAATCATAATTGTAGATTCATCAGTTATGACTATAAATAAGGTTATGGTCCCCGGTTGCAGTATCGAATGAAGTTTCTCTTCACCCGTCAAGGAGAAATCTAAAGTTCAAAAGGTACTCTGCAATTGGAAGACCAAATCACCGATCAATTCAGAAAATACTCTAATGGATTCATCAGGTACGCTTCCGTGTTAATATGTTTATCAATTGTTGTAGGATTTCATGCATATTATAGTGGATTAAATAAGTTTTATGGAAACATTCTTAATCCATTATTTTGGATCTATTCGGTTTTGATTCTATAAAGTAATTGTTTGATCCATATTTGATATGTTAAGA